CATTTTATTTAACATACAGTCACAAAAGAACAATCTTTTTTTAATATGGTGGAATGAGATTTTTAAATTTAACTACAAAAAATATTTTTATTTATTTACAGATCATCACCATACATTTTCCTTCCTCTTTTAATTAATTTTAAATATATTTACATTTATTTTATTGTTGTTTATTTGAGGGAAGGATTTTTTACAGAGCTGTTGAGATGAAAGTTTAAAATTTTAATTTTGGCATTTTGAAGGTTTTTTTGGGGGTTTTAGAGATTTTGAATTTTTTTTTCAATTTTTAGGGGTAAATTTTTGGGGATAATTTTTTATTGTTGTTATTTTTTCGTCGTAATTTTTAAATGAAAATTAAATAATAGAGAGAGAAATATTAGTATGTAGTAGGTAGTAGTTGTTCTAGGCCCTCCCAAAAAATTTTTTACAAAAATAATTTTTTTTCCTTCCTTCTCTTCATTTAGTAGATAACAACAATTAAATATATTCCTCCTCTCTATTTTTCTATTTTTTCTTCTTCCTCTCCAAAATTATTTTCATTTTTACTTTTATCAAAACAATAATTTTGTTGTCCTCTAATTTTTCCTCTTTTAATTTTAATTAAATTATTTGTTGGAATTATTGGAATTAATATATTATAATTTAAAGGTTTTTGACGACTTTTAATCCAATAGTGGTTCCGTAAAAGTTCTCCAGCATCTTCTCGGCATTTTAAAAGACAGAAAGGGTCTATCTAAATTTTTTTAAAATTAAAAAAATTTTAATGAAAAAATCTTAGGTCAAGGAATGAAGGTTCGAATCCTAATCATTTCCCCTTTGAATAAATTTTTTTAGATATTTAAAACATGTATTAAAAAATTCTCCACTTCTGTTTTAATTTTTATCAATCTCAACTAATAAAATAAAAATATTTTTCATAAAATACTTACTAAGTTTTTCAACTAAAAATCAGACCTATCACTTGTTAAAAAATTCAAAATTTTAGGGAAAATTTGTATCCACAATATTTATTACATAGATGTATTAACTAATAAAGAATTATTATTTTTTCAGAAGAATTTCATATTTTTTGAAGTAAGCTTTCAAACTCTTTAAATTTTTAACTAAAATTTGGGGAATATCAAACCAAAAAATTTAAAACTTTGGAATTTATTAGTTAACACATTTAAGGATAAATATACAAAATTTTAGGATTAAAGTTATCTTTTGTGTTAAGTTATGAATTTTGAAAGGAAAACTTTAAAAAACCTGAAATATACTCGTTAACGACTCAGTAATTCTTTTCCATTCTTGTGTTGTAAATTCTAACATAATCGAAAGTGTTGAGAGGGCTAAAACAGAAGAAGAATAAGACCAAACTAAATGTCCATTTGAAACAATTAACTTTAAAAAAATTTAAATTAAAAAATATCCCTTTTTTAAAAGAAAAAACCTCAAAATTACGACGCAAAATACGCGAAACAGCCAAATGGGGAGTTCCTATAACTGCCAACATTGCATGCAAAAAGCGGTCAAAACCTTTAAAAATTAAAAGAGGTTAATTGGAAAGACTTTTAATTAAAAGAAAAAGACGGGAAAGTATTCGAACATTCCCCCTATTCCCCCACAAAATTTAAAATAAATGTATTTAAGACTAACCAAATAAAATTAAATAATGGGTGAAAATATTAATTTAAAAATTAAATTTTAATTTACTTGGCAACAACAAATCCCAACTAAGTCTAGCAAGTAATGTTCGTTCCATTCGATTTAATTCCTGAAAAAATTAATTTTAATAAAATTTTTTAAAACAAAATATTAGAATAAATAAATAAAAAAATTGTGGAGGGAAGGGAGGAATTTTCGAGTCACAAATTGAGGGATGTGGATCAAGGATGTTGTAGACTCCCTATAAAAATGGAAACATTTGTTTTAGAAATGGGGCCAGTTTGAAAAACTATTTTTGTTAGAAGGAAAATAATTTAGGTTGGCGTAATTTCGAAAAAATATTTTAAAAAAATTATGCCGAAAAATCAAATACTTTGAATAGGAAAAACAAATTAAAAATAAAATTTCAGAATACCAAAATTAAGAGGAACACAAGAACAAAAACCTGAAAACATCGAATGAAAAGTAAAGTATTTTTTTGGATCAGGCTTTTGTTTTTATATTTTTGTGGGTGGAAAATTAAATTGTGAACATAAATTTAATTATAAATCACTTTACCTTGCAGACTTTCAGGAATCGAAAAAGACCTAAACCTCCCCAAAAATTTCAAAAAAAAACCTTTTGAGAAAATTCAGATTGTGCTCTAATCTCAGCAGCCAATTCATCAGAATTTAAAGGTTCAGGTGAAGGAATAGCCAAAATTATTGCGGCAGCTCTGTTTGCTTCAAAAGCTTCAGATTCAGCATCAATCTCTTCATGAAATTTAACTGCTAAACCGAGGGAGGAAACGGCTACACAATGCAGATATTTTCCTTGAACCTTTAAAAAACAGTTAAAATAAATTAAACCAAAACACCCGTTTAAGGTGACGAGAGGAAAAGTGGACATTTGGTCCCAACTGAACGGATGTTCCAATTCCACTGTCAAAATCGAAGGAAATATAACACACTAACTTTCTGGAAAAGGGAGTAGAAAAATGATCATAAAAAACTCAAAAAATGGAATTGGGTAAGAAAAAAATTGGTTGGGATCAAATGTCCACATAATCAATTAATTTAGAAAAAATCTTTAAAAAAGGCAAACCTTAACCATTCTCATAATTTTATCCAAAATAGCAATAGATAAGCCTATAGTACTCAATCCTAATCGAAAACGACGTCCCAACATTAAAATCCATTTAACTTGTTTGTTGCGGTCAGCGAGGGAGTCCATCCCCTTAAAAATTAGAAATTTTATTTTTTAAAAAGGATAGCAAAAATAAACAAATACATATTTAGTTAGAATTAAAAAATAAAAATTGGTTGAAAAGTAACGAAAAAACTCATTTAGAGTAAAGAGGAAGAAATTAGACATTTGATCCCACCAAAAAATTTATTAAAATTAAAGCTTCCAAAAAATTTTTAAAAATAATTTAGAGCTTTCAAAGCTTTCAAAATTAATTTAAAGTCAAGAGGGAGAAAATGGAGCATTGGACCCAAACAAAATTTTTAAAAATAAATTAAGTATAATTAAACACCCCCAAAAAATCTTTTTTCTAAAAAAAATTCAAAAAACCATGTATTGTTGTTGTTTCTTCAATTCATTAACTTCATTAGCACTTTTAAACAGCAAAGAATTTAGCAAAACACGGGAAATTGTATACAATGCCGAATTTTTAGGTGAAAAGACATCCGCAATTTGTGTTGAGGTTTCATTGTTCATCGAGTTTAAAATATTAATTTTTTTGTTAAAATTTGTTAATTAAAATATATTGCTAAAAATAATGAAAAAAATTAAATAAAGATTTTTTAATCGGTCAGCGGTTGACTTGGGAGTAGATGACATTTTGTCCCAAAATTAAAAAAAAATTTTAAGAGTAATTGGAACTTAACAATTAAATTGCAGTTGAAAAAGTCTCGTAAAAATTTATTTAGGTAATTTAACTTAAAAAGTAGCCGTTTTTAAAGTTTTTACTAAAATTTTAATTTTTTAATTATTTTTAGAAATTAATGTTTAATAAATACAAAAAATAATTATTTTCTTTATTTAATAATCTACCCATTTTTAATTTTATTTTGCTAAAAAAATTTTTTTTCAAATTTTAATTTTAAAAATAGAACTATCCCCCTCCCTCGGAACATTTGTGTAAACCAAACTAGAAAATTTTTAATAAAAAAAGGCATATTCTCTCGCAGTTTTAATATAAATTTATATTTTATAATTCATTCACTCTCTTTCTTTAAATTCCAAAAATATCGTTAAAAAAAGTTTTTATTACTTGATGCTTTTCATGTGTTGAAAATCACGAGAATGACGCGGAAATGTTTTTTTTGGGTAGACGCCAAAAAATAAAAGAGATAAAAGGAAAAAGAAAAAAAGAAAAAAATTTTTCAAAAAATGTAAACTTTTCGTTTGACCAAATAAAAGAAAAATTAACGTTTAACCAAAATATATTTAGTTTGTCTTATTTTTCTTGTTGTGTATTTTTTTGTGTACTTATTTTCTCTTTTATGTGACAGACACAATATACAAATAAGAAAATTTTAAAAAATTTTTAAACTAACAACAAAAATAGGTAAATATGCAAAGTTCTCTTTCCCATTTATTTACCTATATGTACACTTTTTTTCTCTGCTTTATGTTCCGACAAAATGGTACAACCCCAAAATGCGACAAAAAGGTACATTTTAAAAACAAATTTTAAATAAATTCATTAAAATATTTAAACTAATTTAAAAAATATTTATTCTATTTTTTTAAATTTAAAAAACTGCACACACTTCATTAAATTAAAGAACAGATTTTTTGAAGAAAATAATCACAAAATAAAATAAATATAAAAAATCACAGAATGCCAAAGAAAAAAAATTTCTGCCTTAAATAAAGGCTTGAGGAATTTTTATGAAGGTATGTGGAATTGACTAATTAAAAGAGGATTCTAGAAGGAAAAAATAAATTAGTAGAAGAAATAAATAAATATCATATAAATATATATTATTTTTGAGGTACATTTCTTATAAAAAATTTTTAACGGAAAATATAAAAAGAAAAAATGACATAAATATAAGGTACTAATATATTTTTGTAATAATAAAAAATAGAAAAAGCAAGGAAAAAAAGTTGGAATAAATAAATTGAACAAACTTGAAGAAGAAAATTTAGTTTAAAAACGAGAGAGATGAATGGGGGGAGGGGTTAAATGTTTTGGAATATTTTTTTGTCATTTAAAAAATTTTTATTTTCGAATTTGAATTCACCGATAGGAATTCTAATTGAATCGGATCAAATTTTTCCGGATTATTTACTACTTATCTCTCTCTTTTAAATAAAAGCATTAATTAAAAATGCAAAATAAAAAAATTCACTAAAAAAATTCATTGAATATTAACGATGCTTGGAGGAGACGAATCTTCTGACTGAGCACTTGCTGGGTGTGACTGTCCTGTGGAATTATCTGAATTTGGTCCAGAGAAAAATGTGGGCGTAAATGGTTGCTGATCCTTTAATTAAAATAATAATATAAATTGGTAATGGATAAAAGGAATGTTTTGTGTAGAAACACTTTGCCGGAAAATACTATTAATTTTCAGAATATGTACATAAAAATACATGTATTTTTCCGGAAAATAATTGTATGTATTTTCCGGAAATATATAAGTGCATAAAAACTTTTCCGAAAATAGAAGATAGAAGTTTCCGGAAAATACAAGTTTCCGGAAAACACTATTTTTCTGGAACACTATGTAAATATGTATATTTAGAACTTTTCCGGAAAATATACTAATCTTTATTATTTTCCTGAAAACTAAAGAATACTTGTTTATACATATAACAAATATTTCTATTTACTATCCGGAAAATAAAATTTTTTAGATATTATTCAAAGATCAAGTTTTAGGTTATTTGCTTGCTTGAAATACCTTTTGGAGGGGAGAAGCATCGAGTAATTTAGTTTGATAAATATACGCCTGGTCAAACTGTGTTTGAGGGGGCACACTATTGTTTTGATTTTGTACAAGTTGTGCTTGTTGCCAATTTGTCCCAGCAAGTTGTTGAGGTGTTGGATGACGAGAGATTGGTCTTGCAGGGGATACAACACTATTTTGAGGGGTTCGGACGGGATTAGTTTGACTATGAGGGGTTGGTTGACGCAAAGAAGTTGGTTGGGAAAGCTGGGGAGTGTTTGGTTGTTGTTGTTGATGAGGTGAAGGCTGTGGATGTTGTTGAGTTGGGTATGGGACGATTGTTGGTTGATTAAAATGTTGTTGTTGATGTAATTGTTGTTGTAATTGTATTTGTCTAAAATGTTGTTGTTGCTGAAGTGTTGTTGGATTTATAGATGTTGGGAAAGAATTGTTGTTAATAAATTGTATTGGAGTGTTTTGTTGTTGTTGTGAAAAATAAATTTGTTGTTGTTGTTGCATTTGAACAAAATTATTAGTAGTCATTTGTAGTTGTTGTCTTTGATGTTGTTGGAAACTTTGTTTTTGTGTTTGTTCTATTATTTGTTGTTGTAATTGTGGTAAAGGAAAGACTGTTTGTGTTTGTTGTTGTAATGGAAGAGATGTTTGTGGTTGTTGTTGTTGTGTTTGTTGTAAACTTTGTTGATGTTGTTGTTGCTGTATTCCATTAGCAAAATAATTACTTAATCCATTCAAAACATTCATTGGTGTATTATTATTATTAACAGCAGTAGCAGGAGTATTTCCACTTAGCAACATACCATTTAATGATGTTTGTGGAGTTGCAGCAACAAGTAGCGATTGAGCTTGGGGAGGAATTGTAGAAGAATTTGGTGGTTGTTGTTGTTGTTTTTGATGAGGATGATTGTTTGTTAAAGAAGCTAGTGAATTTTGATTGAGGTTATAATTTGGAATGTTTGTAATTGCACTTTGTTGTTGTTTTTGTTGATGTTGTATAATCAAAGGATTATTAATAACATGATCACAATTGTTGGAAAATAAAACTTGTCTGGCAAAATCGGAAAATTGAATTTGCTCGAAAAAGTCGGCTACAACTGAAAAAAGTAGAGAGAATTTTTAAAGAAAAATTAGAATTAACACTTACTAACTGCTTCTCGCATTTCGCATGACATTGTAGCTATAGCAGTTCCAAGCAACATCTAAATTCAAGGAAAAATAAAATTTTAAAAATTTCTGCATATATTTACGAAATAATAGAAATATCTTTCCGGAAAAGATACATATATTTTCAAGAATATTAAGTAAATGTTGTGTTTTCCAGAAAATAATATAGGGATATTCCGGAATAGTTAAGTTATGTATTTGTTTTCCGGAATTAGATGTAGTTTCGTTTTGTATTTTCATATTTTCCGGAATACATATAATGTTGAGGTTTCCGGAATAAAGTAATATGTGGAATCCAATGTTGTGACAATTAAGGAAGCGACAATTGAGGACGACAAAAGAGGATGAAGTTTTTGAAGGGTTTTCTGAATATTTTTTATTTAACATACACTGGGGTGCAAAATTTCATCTACACCGACCAAAAATTTTCTTAAAACATTATATCTCGAGAAAATTTCATTTACACAACAAAAATGATTAATTGAAAACTCTTTCTATTAAACTTGTTTTAACATTAGCTACCAGTACTTCTTCTTAAAATATGCCCCTGTTTCCAAAACTGATTCATTTCTTGCGGTATCAGTAGAAATGTCCCAGAAATTTTTTTTGTTTTTTGACATTTATCTATAAAAATCTAAGTTTTATTATGTAGGTAAACATTAGCACAGCAAAAAATGAATCAAGCTAGGGAACAGTGGCATATCTTAAGGTTAATTTTAAAACAATAGTTTAATAGAAAGTGCACTTTTCAGTTAATATTAGAAAAATAATTTATGTTATTCAAATGCATTTTTCTTGAGATATAACGTTTTAAAAAAATTTTTGGTCAGTGTACATAAACTTTTGTACCCCATTCCTTTTGTTTTCTCAATTGTCGCATCCTCTTTTGCCAATCTCATCACAAACGTAGTATCCTCAATTGTCACGCCCCTCAATTACCACAAACAAAGTAAACAACATACCATCTTAAAAAAATAAAAAAATAAGTTTTTTTGTAATTTTAACGAAGTTTTAAAGTTTTCCTCACCAATTTTCCAAATTTGTCAGCAGCTTCCGCAGCACCCCTTTTCTGTACCATATAACGATATAAAGCATTTGTTATCGCTGAACGAGCGACTGCTATTTGTGATTTTGCTGACATAGACAAATCATCAGCATCAGAATCTGTTTAAAACAGGGAAATAATGAATATATGACAATAAATTACCATATTCAAAATTACCAGGATTGAGGAAGAAAACAGCCCTAGCTCCAGCAAATTCGTTCTGATCAATTTTAATCCTTCTAATTGGTTCTAATAAATTATCTAACATTTTGAAATTTTTACGTTGAAAACCTAATGACCTAAATAAATTTTTGAAATTTAAATTAAAATTAGGGGGAAATATTTATTTACTTGTCAGAATTCATTGTTCTATCAAAAAATGTACCATCCGGAAATACTATAGTGTCTGGACCGACATCTGGGGTGTAAAAACATTGAACTAATGAAGGGAAAGTGATAGCTGAATGCCTGAGCAGAGACAACTGAAAAAATAATTTTTAAAAATTAAATTCTCATTTTTGACTACTTTATCTTTTAAATCCAAATTTTGATAAATTGGAAGCATTTTAGCCCATTCAATCATAATAAACCAATCACGCTCATGCCAGAATAAATGATCTTTCTGGTCTGCTCTCTTTAATGCACTAGGCATTTGAAGAACTTCTGCAGCCAATTTTTTAATTGCAATTTGGTCTTCAAATATTGAGGAATTTAAAAGAAGGTCGTTAAGAGACTTTTGGACATTTAATTTACTATTTCTATAAAAATAAAAAAATATTTTAAATTTAAAAGAAAAAAATATTGCCTAATTGTGAGTAAAATATATTCAATTCCAAATAATCTCTGTAACAATAAATCTTCTTGCACATGCTCAACATCATTTGTTTGTTGTTGGGAAATAGTACTACTACTAGTTTGCGGTCTATTTACTAAAAAAGATTTAATTAATAAATAAATTTGTGTTTCACTTCCGGAAAAAGTATTTGTTTGTCTTATGTAAGTTTCCGGAAAATACAATTAAAAAACTAAAAAAAAGTTTCCGGAAAACACAATACATGTATTTTATAGAAACACATATTTTCTGGAAACTATATTCTTTTATTAACGCTTGAAAATGTGTTTTCCGGAAAATATATACAAATGTTTAATTGCATTTATTTTTACGGAAACATGTCTATTCAAACGAGTGTTTTTCCGGTTCTTTGTATTTATGTAGTTTCCGGAAAGTTTATTCATTTACCAACACAATAATACATGCCTTTCCGGAAAATTAATATGTAAATGATTAATTGTGTTGTAAGTGATTGTGTATTCTTCCGAAAATAGGATTGTGTTTTCCGGATTTTTTAAGGTTATACATACATATGTATATAGTTTCCGGAAACTTGTAAGATAATAAATTTGTTATATTTTCCGGAAAGTATTAAATATTACCTTGAGTGTTATTATTGCTTGATACGTTGGGTATTGGATTTAAAAAAGGATTGAAGGAAGTTTGAGACGAAGAAGTAAATGAAGGCATAGCATTACTAGGAACTAAAGAATTTGTTGGAGTGTCTGCAGTTATCCCTGTGGAGGAGGAAGCTTCTTCAGAAAATGGGGGAAATTGGTTGAGTATTCTATAAAGAAATTTTTTAAATTATTTTTTGGTATTTTTTAAATTACCTTCGTGTCCTTTTAGTGTATCCAACTAAAAAATTAAGAAAATTATTTTAAAAAATTTTTTATTTATTATTGTCACACCTAACAGAATTTGTGTTTTTCTCAGCAAGAAATATGTTAGTGAAAGAAGAAAAATGTTTCAGGGGAATACACTATTTAAACATTACAGAGACATGTTTTCCGGAAAAATATTTAAATTTAAATTAATTTTAAAATATTTATTTGAAAACTGACTTGGATCCCGATTATTTTGTATAGCTGAAAAATAAAAATTAAAAAAAAATTAAAAATAATTTATTTACATTCTTTGCTCATTCCCGCCTCTAAACATTTTTTAAATCGGCAATGTCGACAAGCGCAACGAACATTTTTATCCACAGGACAATTTCCATCAAATTGGCATTGAAATACTTGCTTTTTCATCACAGTTCGGCGGAAGAATGTTTTACTGGAATAAAAATAATTTTTAGAATTTATTTTATTCCGGAATAATTATTTATCCGGAAAGTTTTCTTTATTCTCTTCACTTTCCTTAAAAGTTTACGGAAAATATCAGAATTTATTTTCCAGAAAAAATTTCAGGAAAAATAAAGAAAATATTAATTCTTTTCTTTCCGGAAAGATTTGATGGCAAATTGTAAATTAATTAATTATGTTTTTCCGGAAATTATGTATTTTAATATAAGAAATACAAAACTTTCCGGAATGTTTTAATAAAAATTACTTTGCTACAAGCATAGATATTTTTAGAAATTATTTTATAAAGTTTCAGAAAATAAAGAAAAATAATTAAAAATTCCGTTATTAATAAATAATAAAAATTTAAAAATTTTAAAGAAAATTATGATGAATTTTTAAATTAAATTGTATTATTTATTTATTTATTTATTTTAATTTTCGAGAAAAAAAATTTTATGGAATAAATACAGAAAAATCTTTTTTCCCCAATTCTTTATCAAATAATTTTTAAAAATATTTTTAATTTGTAAAGCCTTCCAAATAAAATATTTTAATGTTTTTTACAAACATTTTGAAATTTTTGTGATTTTAAAGAACTGATAAGAATCACAAAAAAGTTATAAATTTTTAATTTTAATTTTAATGTCTTAAATCTTGTCTTTTCTAGTCTATTTTTAATTTATTTCATTCCCAATTTTATTAAAATATAATTTTAGAAATTTTGAAAAAATAACCAAATAACATTATTTTTTTATAAATTACGTAGGTATTAAAAATCTTAATTTTAATTACTAGTTAATTTCTAATAATATTCCAAAAAATAATTTACCTATAATATTTAACAAAAAATATTTTTTTTTCAAATACTTTTTATTTTATTAAAAAAATTCCCTCGCATTTTAAATTAATTTTATGAATTTTTTTTACTTTTTTTACCCTAGCAACCATAAAAGCAACAATTTTGACTTATTAAAATAATTATTTTTAAACTTATCTAAAAATAATTATTATGTCATTTTAGTAAACAAAAAAAGATTAGGGTTATGAAGGGTATATTTTAACAACGATAATAATTTTATTAGTTGAAAGAAAATATTTATTTTTAATAAAAAGTAATTTAATTATTTAGAAGAAAAAGAGAGAAAAATAATTATAAAAGATTACCAGCCGTTGCAGGAAGGAGTTCCATAATGATATCCGGTTGCCGTATCATTACACACCTATAAATACATATTTGTTTGTTTTAAAATGTTTTAATTTTTGTTTCAAAAATGTTTTGTATAAACAAAAAGAAAAACATTTGTTTTGTTTTATTTCAAGTTAATTTTAGATGTTTTTGAGGTTTTAAACAAAACAATGTTTTTCACAACAATGAATGTTTTTGATGTTTTTAAATGTTTTAATGTTTTTAATAAATGTTTTCAGATCTATTTTAATGTTTTGAAGGATTCTAAAATGTTTCTTAGAATGTTTTAGATGTTTTAAACAAAGTTTTAATTTTAAAACAAAACTTACAGAACACAATTCTTGTTCGTCAAGCGGCCTTTTCAAAGAACTTGACGTATCCCGAGTTCCATCAGCGTTGTTGTCATCATCTACACAAATATCAGCAGAAGAGGTAGTAGAAGAGAATGATAAAACAGAAGAAGCCGGAACTCGACTTTCCGCAGCACAATTTCCATTCTCGAGATTAGAAGTGGAAGATGTTGAGAATAAAGCAGAGGAGGAAGTTTGGTTTTCCATCATGTTTTTAAAAGAATATCGTTGTTTTGTTAATTTTTGAGTTCATAAAAACAGTGTTTTGTATTCAAATATTGAATAAATGTGTTTTGTGTTTTCTGATGTTTTTTTAAAAATTCTGATGTTTTGATGTTTTCCAATGTTTTCCCCTTTTGTTTTGTAATGTTTTCCCAGGCGTGTTTTGTTTGTTTTGTTTTTGTTCTGGTTTTTCCTTCTATTATTTTTAATGTTTTAAAACAAGTTTGTTTTAATTCTTTATTTTCGATGTTCAGATTCAAGTTCACACTTCCTTTACTTTCCTTGTTTTTATTTGTTTTACTGTTTAGTAAACAAACTTCTTGCTTAAATCACAATGTTGTAATTATATTTCTCGACAATTAAGGAAATCCTTTTTGTTGTTGTTCTCACTTATTGCCTAATGTGAGAATGACTTGAGTATTTTACTCTCTATAAATTTAAAAAAATTTATAAAAATTATGTAAGAAAATAAAATAAACTTTAACACAAATGATATTTCTTTGATTAAAAAAATATTTTCGTCTCTTTTATTTCCGTTAAAAAATTTCAAAATTAAAATGTACTTTTAGCTTTGATATAAAATTTTTGCCCTTTTAATGAAAAATAAATTTAAAAAAATTTTTTGCAAAATATTATGAAATTAATTAAAAATAACATAATTATTAAATAAACAAGTAAAAAAAAATTATTTTTTAAAATGAGAGTGAAAATAAAAAAAAAATATTAAAAGGATGAGAGGAGGGAAGATGTTGTTGCGCCTCTTTAAAATTTTTTAATTTGAATAGGGAGTTAGAAAAAATTTTTTCTTAATTAATTAGACTGATTTAGAGAGTGAATGTGCGTATATTGACTTATTTCATTAATTTTAAAGGGATTTTTAAAAATTAATATATTCTATAAGGGAAAAGAATGGAGGTTAAAGGAGAGAGAGTGAAGGGATTTTTAAGAGAAAAATTAAAAAAAAAATTTTTTTGCCAAAAAAGCGAGAATGATTGAAGGGAAGGGGAAGGAGAGAGGAGGGAGATGAGGATATTTTCACAGGGGAAAAGGGAGGAGGTCATTTGATTTGATTTATAAAAAATTGATAGACATAGGGGGTGAGGAGAGACCTCATAAGAAAATTAAAAAAAAAAGATTTTTTAAAAGGGTGAGAGAGAAAAAAAATTTTTCATTGAAAGGGTAAGAGAGAGAAAATTTAAAATTAAACAATTAAAAGTTATTAAAATTTTCTAAAAGAAATCTAGAGGCCGGCAAAGTTTCTTTCAAGTCGAGTAAAAATAAAGTAAAAATGAAGAGGGGAAGTACAATAAACTTTGATAGGGGAAATATCAAGAGCAAGTCCCATCTTTTGTTTATTGGGGCAGGTTCGGACGCTCTGAACTTTTATTTAAATAACCCTTTTAAGGCTGAAAAGTGGTGTTTAAAAATAAGAAGTATTTTTGTACTTTTTCAAATCAACCCGAGAACAAAAAGAAGATAAAGTATAAAATTATGAGAGAGGTGATTAGCCCATAATAGATCGAAGGTATATAAATAGCGAGATGACATAACATAGTCTAGAGATAAAGGTTGATCTCGGATTGAATAAAAACCCAGAATTAGTCCCAAGATAATATCAAAAAAGTAAAATTAATTTGTCATAAATTGTCTTAATTATCTTGTATCTTAATTAATCAGTAATAATCATAAACTAGATTAACCAATTGTTAATTCGTGTACCTATATATTGTTTGAATGTTTAAAGTTTTTGATTGGATATATAAACTGAAAAAATGCCGAAAAACAGCCTGTTTGGATCATTTAACGCAATTGTATAATAGTTAGTTTAAAAAAGATTTCCTTAAAAAATTACTTAATTTTAAAACAAAAAATTTGTTTATCATTACTAAGTATTTTGTAACATTAAAAATATAAAATGAATTTTAAAAGGGTAACTTTTTTTAAAAAAAATATTTTTTTAAATTAAGAGAAAAGGTAAAGTGTTGCCGATTTTTGATTGCTCTCATCCATAAAATTAATATATGTATAGGCATGTATAGACAAAAAATTTTAATAGAGAGGAGTGATTAGAGAAATCTTTAAAGACGGCACAAAGAGTGTAGTTTGTCGCTTTCTTACTCGATTTTATCAGGGCACGTGAAAATGCTTTAAAGAATATGAGCGAGTGCATGATTGGGAGAGGGGGGGGGGTGATGAGCGGATGGAGGGGGGATGGAAAGGGGAGAAGGAAAGGGGAGAAGAAGGATAATGAAAGGGAATGGGGGGGGGGGGTAATGATTGGGATTGGGATGGTGAAGGAAGAGGGAATTAAGATGGGAGAGGAGGGATAAATGATAGGGATAGGGGCGATAGGCAATGATTGGGATTGAGATGGGGAATGAAAGGAAAGGGAGAGGGGCGAGGGGAGAGGAATGATAAGGAAAGTGGATTTCGATTTTTTTCAAGAGGAGGGAGAGGGGGATATGGGTGGATGAAGAATAGGGATGAAAAGACCGAGAGAGAGAAACCAAATCCGTCTTTTTTATTGTTATTAATATTAAGATAAGTTTTTTAAGTTTATATTTTAAGTAAAAGGAATGAACAATGTTATATGTAGGGGAATAATCAAATAATTTTGGAGCAAAAGCCTAATAAAAGTTGTTTTCGTTTTGGTAACCCGTGTTTCCCAATTAAAGACCAAAATTGAAGATCAAAAAGATAAATTTTTAACTGATATATGTATATGCATAGGTTTCTATTGCCAGCATCTAAAACTAATAAATGGAGTTTAATTCTAATAAAAATTTAAAATTTATAAGAAAGATTTGATGGGTGAAGGAGGAATAAGAAAAATTATTCCATATTATGGAATGGCAAAGAAAAATTATATTAATTTTTAGAAAAAATTTAATTAATAAAAATAATTAAATAGTAAATATTCAAAAATAGATTATTATATAATCATAAAAACACAATTTATATATAAATATTTAGTAATGTATACATATAATTAACTTGTTTAAAGCAAACAATTAATGTTTAGTGAAAGTAAGTGATATTAAACTATAATTAGATGTTTGGATATTGAAATGTTATGTGTTTTTATTAATAAAAACAAGTTTGTAAATAAATCAGAATTTAATAAAATATAAAATCAGAATTTTATTAAGACACGCAAACAATCAGAATTTAATTAAAACAAGAGAAATAATTAAATATTCTGATTTTTCGTGTTCAAATGTTCAGATTAATTTCTGATTGCCTCTATTAAAACAATGTTTGGGAAAATGTCACGAAACAAAACTTAACATAAAAACAAGTTTATTTTGTTTTGTATCCAAAAACAAAAACAACACAAATAACATAACATTTTCCTATTTTTGTTTATATTTACTAACAGATAAGTTTAATTGTAGTCCTCGCCTAAAAATCTATACTATTTATTAAAAAGCAATCAAAACACAAAAAGGGCAAAATAACAGCCAATAATTAAATTGTCGGCAAAATAAAGAAAATAATCTAAAAATTTAATTTCTTAATGTCTTTAATTTTGCCCTTAAAAAGAAAAAAATGCGCAAATCTATAAAATAATTTTAAAATAAAAAAGCCGCTTTTAAAGTGTAAGCTTGACTGTTAAATTTAAAGTAAACAAATATTTACTAATAATTAAACGAAAAAGAATAAATTTTATATAAAATAAAAGTAAAAACAATGTTTTGGAAATGTTCTTTAATTTTATTTGTTTATTTAAAAACAAACAAAACAAGTTTATTTGCGCTGTAAAAATAAACTTGTTGTAAAAAATGTTTGTTTTTGTTTATATGTTGTAAAAACAAGTTTATTTTTTTTCAAACAAAAACAAGTTTTAATTTTAGAACAAGTTTATTTGTGTTTTGTTTGAACAAAACAAGTTTATTTATTTGTTTGTAATTGTAAAAACAAATCTTAAATTTTACAAATAAATAACAAACAAAATTATAAGTAAAACAGAAGCAATTAAAAAATGTCTAAATTTTAAAAAGACCAGAATTAAAAAAAAATTAATTTTAAAAATTATAAAATAAAATGGAAACTATTAAATTAATTTTAACCTTTTTTAAAAAAATTAAAATGTCTAACTTTGCAATTTAATTAAAGAGAAAGAGAAAAAGACAGGTGTGTCTATTGTACATAATGGTTGTTAACAGGAAGTAGAATAGACATTTTAATTTTAATTTTTGGACATGAAATATGTATATACAAAAAACTTTTATTTTTAGTAATTATAAGAATTTAATATATATTACTATAATTATTTTAAAAAATAATATTTTTTAGAAATAATTATAATTTAAAAATTAAATTTATTTCAAGTTTATTCATTATGAGGCAAAAAAGGAAAGAAAAAATATTTTTTTTTAAATTAAAGAAAAAAATTTAAAAGATTAAAAGTAAACTAATTCCCCTGAATAAATGTATAAATTGCCAAATAAAAGTAAAAATATGTAGCTAAAAATTTTTTTGGTCAAATAAAATATGTAACAGATAGCAGAGATTTTTCAAAAATTGAAATTTAAAAATTCTTAAATTTATAAAAAGAAAAGGGAAATACTTTAAAGGATATTTTTTTATAAAATTTTATATAATTTTTAAATGGAAGTACCAGATTTTTTAAATGGAAACCTCGAAATAATTTCTGAAAAATACTAATAAAATAATAATTAAATTTCTGGTTGATTATTAAATTAAAATTAACGTAATTTTCTTCTCTTTACTCTTTTTTCCCCCAACAATTAAATAATTTTGAAAAAAAATTGTTGGCAAAAATTATTTAATAACTAAAAAAACTTTTTTTATATGCAAAACAGAGAGAATACATACATACACCAAAGTTACGCTTTTAGCTATAAATATAAAATTAAATTAAATGTTTGCTTAGAATTTAAATTTTTTTTAATTTTTGAAAAAATTAAATTTTTTAAATTTAATTTTGGTGAGAAAATGTGTTGTTAAGAGAGAAGAAAAAAATTAATAAAAAATTGAATTTTAAAATTTAAATGAAATA